TTTTTCGGTTTTTCTCCGGTACCGGGAACCGAACTCACGACCTTGCGCTTGCCAGGCAGGCGCTTTTGCCGCTGAGCTAAATCCCCAGCCCCAGCTATGGCACTCTTTTGCCTGGTAATTCACAAAACACTGTTGCTCAGAGTGAGCTGCCGTTCCCTGATCGCTCTCAGAGAAAAGTCGCCCTCACCCTTACCAGCTCAGAGGGCAGCCTGGCGCCTAGGCTAGTAAACCCTCACAAACGGCGGTTGGCTTGGGCAGTGGGTGGGCGGATGAGTAGATAAATCTACCCCAGCTCTTAATTCCAAGGAGGTCAATTTTCAACGTCTTTCTGCAGGATATTAAGAGCTAAAGAAGCTTTATCATGCACATTTCTCATCCTTCCTGTACCAATCCCTCTCTTCAAGCTCATTTTGAAAAATTTACAATCACCTTAACTTTATTTATATTCAGTAATGGAGTTATACTGCAGTAGATAGTTTGATGATAATAAATACATGAATGCTAAGCCTCTGTTATCAGTGCCTTTCTCTCAATATTATATAGTTACAAATAAAAATACCCGTAAATTGAACACAGCACTATAAATGCATTCAAACTTTCTAGCTTCGACATTTAGACCTGTCTGACCTTTATAAAATAATACATAATTCTCACACTTTACCCTTACGAATCATGTAGTTCCTAATCTACTACTTTGAGGAGCGATTACTTCCTCATCCTCTTAGGATCTAATCTCCTCTTAACAGGACGGAAACTGCTAGTAGTAAATGAGCTTCCTGCCCCACGTCCTCCCACTGTAATACTACCCTCACTGTTCCAGTCTCTGACCAACTAGACCTCATCAAAAACCAATAATATCCATAACTTTTATCTACTTTTGCCTCTCCTTAGATTTCAAGTATCCCAGAGAAGAAATGTGTTTACCTTCAGCATGAGACAGAGTTCCAGACCACAACAATAAATGTGCAATAAACATCTGTTAAATGCATTAAGATAAATGAAACCGAAAGAGGTACGTTATTTATTTCTTTATTAGCATACTCTGTTCTTGTTAGGAGGACGGATGACTGAAGATAAGAGCTTATAAAGATGAGGAACATTTCAAAGAGCCACTAAGAAGCATGGGAACAAAGGCTGAGAAGTAACAGAAGGAACTGCTTGTAACAGGGAGGGCTTAGTCAAGGCTGATGATTACAATCGAAAACCACAATGAAATGAGCTACTGTGAGAAATAATCAGAGATAAATGGTGAAGCAAGCCCTCAAAGAATACAGCTACTATAATTACTTAATAAAATAAGCATACATGTCTTTTTGAAAAAAGGATACTCAAAGTTGGACAAATAACAGGAAACATTAAGATATCAGGCCCTGAAAGAAAACAAGTTCCAGCTAGGACTGATATATCCTACAAAACTATCCTTGAAAACTGATGGAGAAATGAAATATTTCCATGATAAAGAGCACCTAAAAAAAATTCATGGCCACCAACCTAACACTCCAAAATATTCTCAAGGATACCCTAGAGACAATGAACCTAACAATGACAAAAGAGTTAAGAGAATGAATACACACAGGTAGGGTGAGCAGTTAAGGAGAAGGGAAAGAAAGGGAGCCAGCGACAGGAGAATAATGTAATAACCAATATGTCAGAACATTTCAGTAGTAACTCTCAACTGAATGGTCTCAATTCCCCAATCAAAAAACAGACAGGCAGAATGGATCAAAAAGCAAAACCCGACAGTATGCTGTATACAAGAAACACACTAAAACCCAAAAAGAAATTCACAGACCATTCAAAAGGAAGAGATACTATTATTAACATTTATGCACATAACAAGGACACGTTCAACTTCACAAAATAAATACTGGAAATAAAAGATCAGATAAACACAAACACAATTATACGGGGGGACCTCAATACCCCACTGTCACAAGTAGACAGATCAATTAGACAAAAAAAATCAACAAGGAAGCATCATAGTTAAAAAAAAAAACATTCTAACAAATGAACCTAACAGAATACACATTCTTCTCGGCAGCACATGGAACCTTCTCCAAAAAATCTAGCCAAAAAATCATGCCGAAGTGAATGCAAAAGAATCAACATCCCATGCATATGATCAGATCATAGTACAATGAAACTAGAAATCAGTAGCAAAAACCTCAGAAGCTATGCAAATAGGTGGAAATTAAACAATACCTTCTAGAACAATCAATGTGTTACAGCAGAAATAAGAAATGATAATGCCATACCAACACTCCAGAACTTATGAGACACAATGAAAGCAGCCCTAAGAGGAAAGTTCATAGCTGTGAACACCTTTATCAAAAACAAAAAAAGAGGGAAGCCAAATAAATAACTAACGATGCACTCCAAGGTCCTAAAAACAAGAGCAATCCATATAGATGGTTATATAACATAAAACTGTGAAAAGGATAAGTAAATGTGGAAAGTCAGAAACATCAAATAAAGTCTACCTGAGATACTGAAGCACCCTTAAGTACTGGAAAAACTATCATTTTTAGGTTAACTGAAGTGCTAATTTTCACTACTATTGTGTACTTTAAAGCCACCATGAATCTGAAAAAGAATACTAACGTATCAATTTAAAAATATTTACTTACTCTATAGCCATGATGAGGAGGAGGCCAAGGAGAGAAAACAAAGAGACTGAGAAAAAGCAGCTGCTTTTGCTGCACCACTAAGAGAAACAGATCCCAGGT